CACTGGGATTGTATCTTTAATATAAAGGATCACTCCTCTTTTCTTACCGGTTGCCAATGAAGTAAACGTTTTCCCCAGCTTTGGTTGCTTTTATAAGTATTCATGTTGCTTTTGAATATGCACTTCTTGTAGACAAATTATATCCAATTTTAATTTCCCTAGTTTGTGAAATATTTTCTTCTATTTGCTGAATTAAGTCCATTTATGTTAATTGAGATCATTTTCTTCTCTTCCATATTTATGTTTTATACATAGGATTTATTGTTCTGGTGGCTCTAGGTTCTTGTAGATCTCTAATATCCACGCCACCTACAGCACCTTCTACTATCTCGATCCCGCCTACTGCTCCTTCTTTTTTTCCAGTTGAAGCTGAAGCCACTGCTCGTGATTCTTTCACCGATTCTTTATGTCCAGTCTCCTCAGTCTTCCCTCTGAGATGTTCTTTGAAAAATGCTTCTGCTTTTTCAATTGAATCTATTCTGTATCTTTGTCCTTGCCATACAAACATTAAACCTTCTGGTTTCAACCATCTGTAATTAACACCTTTTTTGAGTAGAATTTTAGTCAAAAATTGATATTCTCTTCTCGATTCTCTCACTCTTCTTGGTATTTCCTTCAAAATTACAATCTCCTTGCCTTTGCACTCCAGTTGTCTATCTCTTTCTTTTTGAAGTATTTGCATCCTAATTGCTTTCTTGGGAAACCTTACATGAACTTCCCATGGCAAATCATTTCTCTCTGCATATTTTGTAAAAACTTAAAATGCTTCATCTATAGCATCAGCCATATTCTCTTGGGTTAACTGGAGGACATTCGTCAAAATTTCTATCATTATTTCTAACAGGTTTTCACCTTTTTCTTCTTCTATGTTTTGGAATCTTAGAAAAAAATCTGAGCTTTCCATCTCCCAATTCAGTATTCCAATATTATCTTTTTTGACCACACTCAGTTTATTATCAATCTCCCCAATTTTCTTCTCTCTTTGGTCACTTTTTTCTTCAATTTTTTGTAGTCTATCTTCATATTTCATCACCATTTGTTGAATACTATCATTTTTTCATCAGTTTTAACTGCTTTTTGTTCCATCTTCTACATTCGTTGTTCAATGTTTCCCATTTGTTGTTCTATTGTCTCAATTCTTTTTTCCATGTTTTCTTTTCTCTTTGCGATTGGTATCTGCTTTTACTTGTAAATTCTGAATTCCTTGCATAATCATCTCTAAGGTAATTGCCTTCTCTCTTGCCTTTTCTTTTTCCTGTTGCAACATTGTCTGTAATGATCTTTGTCCTCCTGCTGGTGAGGAGGAGAGTGTTGTTGTTGCAGAGCCGGTGGTTATAACCACTTGGTATAAAAGTCAGTTGTAATCCAGAGTGACCATAAGGTGATCAAAGGTTTAAAAAAAGAAAAGAGGAAGGAAAAATGTCAATTATAATCCAAAATGGTCATGGGGTGGTCCAAGGTAAAAAAAAGAAAAAGAAAAAAGGTAAAAGAAAAAGAAAACAAAAAGGCCGAGAAAAAAGGGAAGAAGATTCTGTGGGGGAAAAGCGAAGAGTAAAACAAGAAAGCAAAATGGAGACAGTAGGTAAATCTACTATCAAAAATGTGAAAAGGAAAAAGAAAAACCCATAAAAGAATAAAAATCTTCAATCTTTTCTATGCCATAATCCAATTGAAAAAAANGCAACACAGAAGGAGCCATGAAGTGACCACCCTTGCCGCCTCCTGCATCTCAAAAATAATAAGACCTCCCCAAAAATAAGGCCAAGTGCTTATTTCAGGGGTCAAAAGAAAATAAGACCCTGTCTTCTTTTGGGAAAACACGGTATGTGTGTGTATGTATGTATGTATGTATGTATGTATGTATGTATGTATGTATGTAACTTGTTTACTTGAAATGCACAGTATTTTATATTGGTTTGTGAGCAGGCCTAGAACTTGAAACTTGGAATTTGAAAATCCATCCAGTCATTCAGCTCCATGGCTGATCAGTAAAGTAATGTTAAGGTTAAAATAAGGCTACTGTGGAAAAAGTAAATAGTAGATAGAACTTAGCTCTTTTGGAAACTGACTTTTGGCTCTCTGTTAAGTGACTGAATTTACAGAATCAAAGCAGATCTGATGATAATTTTATTGTCCCAATCAGCAAGTTGAACCTTTAGAAGGTATCGTGGTATTAATGGAGATTATCTTAAAATGTAAATCAGTATACCGATTTTTTTTCCTGAGATAGAAAAAGACCGACTTTTTACCACCCAATCTTTTGCTCAGACCACTTCCTGGGTATTATTTACCTCATGTAGATTGTAATTAATGAAATTAAGATCAGGCCTAATTTTGTCCTGAATTCATTGCTCTTTTTTTATTTTTCTGGGCTACATTTTTGGACTGGAGCTCCTGGGTGTTGTATGTGTATTTCTGTGGATCAATCCAATAAACCTCTAAAGATACATTTTCCCTTTTCAGGATACAAAAGTGAACACGACTGTCGTACCTCTGACAAGCGTAACTGCTACTGATGCTGATTTAAATCCAGTGTACTACAGCCTTGAAGGAAGTCAAGTTAGTATATAGTTCAACTGAACTCTTGAGATGTAGAGTATAAATTCAAAGGCTAACTTCTTCTTGACAAGCAGTCTTCCAAAGCAGGATACACATTGTTTCCCTCTTCTCTGCAGATTGCCTCTTTTTCTGCTTAGACTGGAGAAGTGAGGGAATCAGAACTGAAAAACTGTCTTATGCCAAACGGCTTAGTAATTACATTATCAGATAGAACAGTACCACACGTTCACCTGCATGTTTCATTTCTCCACAAAGTGGAAGTAAAAAGAAGCATTTGTCAATTGAAAACAGGCTTAATCTACAGAAAGGTCATATTAGATAAATCATGGAATGTGTCGATAAGAGCATTCAACCATGAAATAAGGTTTGGGGGGGGTGTTGGAAGAGAGTAGGTTATTTTCGCCTGAAAAATTAAGAAAACTCCAACTGTAAAATGAATTTACATTGGACAGAGTTTCTCCCTCCAATATATTCCCTGCCCTGTATTGTTTTGCTAATCACTATAATTAGTATCTCTCAGCAGAAGAAATGTCATAAACAAGATTTTAAAAATTCATCAATTTATGGACAATTATATTTAGTCTGTAGAAAGGAAGAAAAACAGTATAGAATCTCCATGATTCACTTTTCATGAGGTTGGAAGTAAGAGGACAAACATATACTGAGCTCAGAATTGTATGTGTCATGCATTATTTCCTATGTCTGTAATTAAAATTGGCATTCTCTCTTGTTAACTGATAGGAAGCAATGGACTATTTCAATATACAAGGAATTAACAACCCACAAATTTACTTGCGTAAAGCCCTGGATTATGAAGCAATTAATTTTATGAGATTTACTTTAAGGGCCATGGTGAGTTTTATTGCAAACAAAATATTTGCAATGCATGTTCTATCATCTGCTTAATTTTCCTTCTGAAGCTGAAACTGCCAATCATGATATCTGCCAGTTCCGAGACATTTAGCTTAAATGTTGAAACAGAAAACATTTCCCCATTGAAAGATGGTGATTGCAGAATTGTGCATCCACACTATGGATCATATGAGGCTCTTTATCACTCAATGTTAGCTTTTACAAAATAATGGGTATAAACCGTACCATTTCTTGGATCATCATCCAGCCTGCTGCCTTTTGCAAATGTACTAGAAGGGATTGATCTAATACTTCAAGATACTTTTTAGCCTATGAACCTTCTCCAATTTATTCTCCTCCATTTTTCTGTTACATAGGATGGAAATGCTGGTGCGGCAGGGACACACACAGCCACAGCCACAATATCCATACAGATTGTACAGTCTGATCTCAAGCCTCCCTGGTTTCAGCCATGTACTGCCGTTGGAGGCAGCAAAGTGTGTATCAGTCTTGGCTATACCAGCAAAGTCAATCTTTCAGAAGAAGCGGTACGTTAGCAAGATGCTTAGACTGGTCCCCTACCCCAAGTTGCCCTGTTTAATTTTGGTTTGTTTCTCCTTGGCCTTGTGTTGCTCTTTTCATTTAACCTTCAAGGATTCCCGTTATAGCAATGCTGTGACTTGGGCACAGGCACTCAGCCTGCTTGGTTGAACCCAGAGTCCAAAGAGGACAACAACCAGAAAGATATGTACTACCTTTAGTAAGAGAGGTATTTTATGTAGTTAAACTTTGTGAACACAGAATGTTTCCATCGTTTACAATTCAACCATCTGAGACTTGATTACTTTTGTTGTTATTCTCCTCGCCACATTAGTTCATCAGGAGGCCAAGATGAATTTTTGCTTGTGTGCCCATAATTGCATTGTGACTTGTTGTAGCATTCAAACCAGCAGGTTCAGGGCATGGCACGTATCTGATGGGGTCTCTTTGACAAGACAGAAAGTAGGGGTGAATGGACTGGAAAGTGGCAGAGAAAGTTGACATGAAAGAACAGAGGCTGAACATGGATTCCTCGAAGACTATTTTTCCTAAAGAGTCAAGAAATACAATCGCTTTCTCACTGTGAAATTATGTAATTGGGCTGTCTTATTTCATGAATCACTCTATGGATTCCAACATGAGTTTGAGACCAAATCTATAATGCATCATTAAATCCTCATGCCACTTGGTCAGACAGGGAGGGTTTCCTGCAGAATTTTAACTTGTGGGGTCCAGGAAGTGAGCCTTCTCTGCTGTTGCTCCTGTCCTTTGTAATGTTCTCCCTCCAAAGGCAAGGTAGGGTCCCAGTCACCTGGCCTTCTAGAAATATCTGAAGACCTGGCTCTGCTCTCTTGCTTAGGGTTCACAGAGGAACATATAGCCATGGGGCAGGTTAGCATCCTAAAGTCTCTCCTTCTGTTTTTTCATTATTTTTTAACATTGACTTTTAATCTTCTTCGCCTCTTCTATAACTTTTAAATACAGTTTTACTATTTTACTTGTATACTGTCTATGAAGAGAAGGACAAGGACTACATTTGATAAACAAAGAAAGAAAATGAACAAATTACTGGAACTGTCAGGAAATTATTTATCTTTATTGCCATTGCAGAGTGGGCCACTGATCTTGGAGCCAGGACCCCTCTATGCTATTGATGGGGATAAAAGTTTGAATGAGAAAGTGATATATGAAATTGTTGCTGGTGAGTAGATTAAAAGCCCCATTTTAATGTAAATTTAAAATTAATTTAAAAGTAATTTAAAAATCAGCTACTGATTTTCTAGGCTTGATACTTTCAAGCTTCATCCAGATTCAGGGACAATGAAGAAGTTATTTAATAACAGTGCCGCATTTCTACTTATATTCTACATATATGTATTGAGTTTCTCAAGTATAAACTAGGGAAAGATTTGTAATCCAACTACTTAGAGTCAGATTATCCTCATAAAAACTCTTAAATCCTCTCCTCTAAATGCCTCCAAATTGAAGTGACTTTATTGAACTTTATTAACCAAATGACTGAATTCCACAGTGTGATTTCAGGATATTTTTGGAAGGATTTGGACTTTAGAAGTTGAAAATAGACCGCATTCCCACCCTTATTCTTAATTAACTGTCTCCCCCAAACCCGCAAACTGACAAATCCATTTTGGCACCCAATTTCAGCAGCACCTTCTCTGCAGATGGAATGAGGGTGTCAAGTGTGACCCATGATTTGGGTCACTGTAATATACCACATGCCACACAATGTTTTTACCCATGGTGTATTTAATCTTTTTAGTTGAATAAACTGTACTTGGTTGAGTTATCACAACATGGTATTAATAACTCCTGTTTTTCAATTGCAATGACTAGGATCACACATATACTAAGACAAATCAAAGACATTACATTATAGCAGGGAATGTGATGTTGGAAGTGAACCACATAAATAAATAGCTATGGATAGATGTGTTTAATTCGGTTCAAGCATCTTATACATTACATTTACTTTAATCTGTACTTGGAAGCAATTCAGCAAAAGATGTTAGAAATAATATTAATACATTGGATAATATCTCAAACCCAACAAATCAACAAGTAAAGCAAGCATTTATTCAACTTCTAGGTTTTAGATACAACTAGGACATTCATGTATGAGTTCTAGTTCCCTTTTTTTTCTTTAGTTTGAAATTTTGCATTTATTACTGTACAAACACCAGCAGAATGATACCAATGTGGATTTTCCTAGGACTTAAATACACAAAATGGCAGGCAGAATCTGTGTAATTATTTTTAGGGTCCATATATAATTGGTGCCAGTTTGATATAGTGATAAAGGCACCAGGCTAGAATGGGGGAACTGATGATCACCATAGATCTGCATTTGGGGAAAGTAACAGTAGAATGACTTGCCCCAAAATGCAGCCATTGATGTGATAGCATCTGAGTCATTTTACTTTTTACTTATATATATATATATATATATATATATATCCTTGCATTGTTTTTCCAAGCCAGGTTTCAGTAGAAGAAAGATAAGTTTTGAGAAAAAGGAATAAATGAAGGAATAAATAATTGGCCATTCTATAATATTAGGTTCTTTGGGTACCTTACAATAAAGATAAAACTGAAATACCTACCAAATAAAATGTAAAACTAACATGAAAAATTAGGGCACCGGTTGGAACCCTGACAGCAGGATTCTTTGCCTGTCCTGGAACTGCAGTGGATTTAATGTTAACAAGTGGAGGTATCTTAATGTACAATCTCACAATTTTGTGCATGACACAGTCAGGAAGCTTCATCCTACTCTTTTTGTAGTAATTGTGCATGCCAAGTATTTTCTTTTTCCAATTGTGCTTAGGAAATGATAATGACACATTCAAAATAAACAGAGATTCTGGAAACATTACCATGACTCAGCCTGCAAACATTCTGAAGACATTCATGTTGTATATTGTGGTAAGCTCCTGATAACATTAGTATGTTGTTAATAAAATATGACTCTTGAATATTTGTTTGCCAGGAGGACATAATTAAGAAGACCAAAATTCCCAATATGCTGCCACAGCGTTGGTTG